ACTGTGACCTGAGAACTAAGATGAAATAAACTTTTTCCTCCTCAAGTTGCTTTTGATCACGGTGTTTATCACAGCAATAGAAACCTAAGACAGTGTTCCATCACTTTTCACCTGATAGATTCAGCGGCCACTGTGGTCTTTGCATGGACACAATCAAATACTGGAGTCTGTAAATGTTTTTGCTGTCCTGGGGAATTAAACAGAACTTTGTGCATGCTAGGCAAGAGCTTTAGCACTGAGCTAAGTCTCCAGACTCTCTCTTTTAAAACATGTTTGATGATGCTATAATTTGCATACAACTTATCTCTTTTTAAAAGATTTATTTTATGTGTATGAATGTTTGCCTGCATATGTGTATAATAGGTACCATGTACAAGCCTGGTGCCTATTAGACCAGAAGAGGGTGCCAGGACCCCCACCCCCACCCAAATGGCATTTCAGGTGCTTGTGAGTCACCACGTGGATGCTGAGAACCCAAGTCTAGAAGAACAACAGTGCTCCTAACTGCCAATCATTCTCTCCAGTCCTCAAATTTATCTACCAAAGTGACTAGCATCTGGGCTTTGACAACCACAAGGACTCAGATTCTGTCACAGTCAAGATACAGAATATTCTGTAAGTCCTTCTCTAGCTCTCTGTCTCCCAACAACTGGTGATGTATATTATGTTCCTAGTTTGGGGTCTCCCTAAAGCTAAATAAATGGAACCATATACTGTCATGGTTTGTGCATGTATTCTTCATAACACTCCTGAGATTCATATAGGCAGTCTACCTTAACCATTCTGTTTCTCTGTGCTGCTGGGTAGTGTGGATTTAGAGGTACAACCACAACTTGCTTATCCATATGTGAGGTGACAGCCATTTGGACTGTTTCCAGTTTGGGGCTTGTGATGGTTTGAAAGAAAATGGCTCCCAAAGGGAGTAGCACTATTATGGGGTGTGACCCTGTTGGAGGAAGTGTATCACTGTGGGGGTGAGCTTTGAGGTCTCTTTTGCTCAAGCTTCCCTCAGTGTGATAGTCAGTCGACTTCCTGGTGCCCATAAATTGTAGGACACTCGGCTATTTCTCTAACACCATGTCTACATGCATGCTGCCATGCTCCCCAGTGATGATAATGGTGTGAACCTGTGAAATTTCCTACAACCTGTCATAGTGAGGGTTACTAATGCTATGATAAAATACCATAAGCAAAAGTAAGTTGAGAAAGGGTTTATTTGGCTTACACTTCCATATAACAGTTCATCATCAAAGGAAGTCAGTCTGCTTTCTATAGAACCCAGGATGCCAGCCCAGGGATAGCACCACCCACAATGGTGCTATCATTAATTAGGAAAATGCCTTACAGGCTTGGCTACTGCTTGGTCCTAAAGAGGCATTTTCCCAGTTGAGGCTCTCTCCCTCCCTCCCACTCTGATGATTCTAGCTTATGTCAAGTATGCCAGCACACAACAACCTTAAGGGTTTCAACATGTTGTAGGTGACTCAACCACTATAACTTCTTTTTTTTCAAATTACTCCATCTTTGACTTCAAACTGGTTCCAGAGACTTCCCAACCTGATACTAATCTTTGACGGTTTCTTTGCTTTCTGGCATGACAAGATTTTCCAGATCTTACAGTGTTTGTTCCTGTGGAGTAAGGGTGTGGCCTTTGCCTTCAACTTCGGGAAAGTAATCTACATCATACGTGATAGAAATGTCTTTGTTGAGGGTGGAGCTGGCCACACCTTCCAGGCTTAGAGGAGGGCTCGACACACAAGAAAGATCAACTATGTTGACAGATCATGTGATATGGGTCAACCTGGAAACTAAAAATCAACCATGTAATCAATCAGTCAATCAATCAATCACACCTATACAATGGGGCCACAATAAAAACTTTGAACACCAAGGTTCATGGCCCTTCCTTGGCTGGCATCACTCAGTTCTCTGCTGATGTGGGCAAGGCAGCATGTTCTGACTCCATAGCAGAGGGGCCGAGAGGCTTATGGTTTGAACCCTCCCAGAGTCCCTGCTTCTGGCCTCTTATCCTGTCTTCTTTTAATCTGTGTCCCTTTCCCATAATATCCTGTAGCCACTTGCTAAATTCTAGTGAACCACTGAAGCCTGAGGGCATTTTGGGAATCTTCGCATGAAGGTTGTCTTGTGGGACTGTGGCATCATATCCTACCCCGCAGTCTAGCTTATTCTGAGCACCGCTTCAGATGTGCAAGCAATGGTCCCTCTAGGGACCTGTCTCCTTTCAGTGAAGAACAGTACTTGGATAACAGGCTGGCACCAGACCTTACTGCTAACTGCGGAGCAGTCAGTATTTCTAGAGTTTTTCTGTGTCTCAGAACTTAAAAAAAAAAAAAAAAAAAGCCCAGGTAAAGCAGCATTATGACAGGAAACAGAGTGGCTATGGTGGGCAGACTAAGCCTATTTTCCAAAAAAAAGAAGATTTGCTGAGGCTTGCTGAAGCATTTTGAACTGGGAGGCGATAAGAAGAGAAAGGGCCAAGTGATCTAGTTCTAAGCTGATCTTGTTATGAAGACAATAAAATCACAATAAAAGAAACTCAAAAAAAAGGAAGTGTTATCTGAAAAATAATGCAATATAGGATATTTCCAATTCAAATTTAGGCTGAGAGATAAAGTTTTTACTTCTCTGACTTTGACCTTTAATTTTATCCTACTATATAATGTTTTCAGGGTACCAATATAATCATCAGGGCTGAGAATATGGCAGCGCCCACTACTCTCAGCCTACAGACTCTCAGAAGCCATCGACGCCCATGGTGTTCAGGATCCAGCATTATCATCAGCACCACAATGAAGGAAAACAAGCACCTCATATCTTCTTTTGTCTTCTAGAAATACAGTCAAATTTTAGAGCACTTAAAATACTTCCTTTCTGAGTTCCAGGACAGCCTCCAAAGCTACAGAGAAACCCTGTCTCGAAAAACCAAAACCAAAACCAAAACCAAAACCAAAAACAAAAACAAAACTTCCTTTCTGTGTAACTCTGGGCTAAGATCCCGCTCAGTGGTGTCTCCCTGCTTTATTTTGTTGGTTTTTAGGAGTTAGGAAATTTTTCTGTATTTTGATTTAATTTAGCTCTATATTTTATGAAAACTATGTGCATGGGTCTAAAAGCCAAATTTACAAAACAAAGGGGTGCGTGTAGTTCAGTTGATGGGTACTTACCTAGCAGGCTTATATAAAGCCCTGGGATAGAGCCCCAGAAACACATGCAGAAGGATCAGAATTTTAAGGTCAAGGTGGCAAAGAGACAGCTCAGGGGTTAAGAGCACACATTGCTCTTGTAGGGAAGACCACAGTTTGATTTCCAGCACCCACATGAGGCAGCTTCTAACAACCTATAACTGCAGCCCCAAGGGTTGGCCAGAGGGCACCTCCAGGCACGCACGCGCAATTTAAAAAAAAAGTCTTTAAAAAAATGTCAAGTCATTCTTGCCTATACAGGGAACTTCAGGGCAGTCTAAGACCCAAGAGACCCAAGAGATGGCTCAGTGGTTAAGAGCACTGACTGCTTTTGTAGAGAACTGGCATTCTATTCCCAGCAACCACACAACTGCCTGTAACTCCAGTTCCAGGGGCTTTGACACCCTCTTCTGACCTTTCTGGGCATCAGTCATTTGCATGTGGTGCACAGATATGCATGAAGGCAAATACCCACGCATATAAAATAAGAAAGTGGGAATATTTAAAGGTAAATATTAAACAATGGAGAGGAGCGCTGTGAGATACTGTCTTCTGGACATGACATGGCACCACGAACTCAGTAGTCACCTGTACAAGAGCAGACCAGCCCACATCCTAGCATAGGTGGGCAGTCATGCCTCAATGAGGAGCTTCCTGAAACTGAAAGCCACTGGGGCAGGGGAATCAGTCCTTTTTGAGGGCCTCAGGCTTCCAACCCTCCAGTGGATGGCCCCACACCCATACACCTGTGGGCAGCACCAACTAGACTTAGTGGGTTACTTTTTTTAAAAAAGAAGAAGTTGGGAGGGTGGCACATGTCTTTAATCCCAGCACTCAGGAGGCAGAAGCAGGCAGAAGCAGGTCTACAGAGTTCCAGGGCAGCCAGGGCTGTTATACAGAGAAACCGTCTCGAAAAACCCAGAAAAAGGTAAGAGGTTGGGAAGCAGAATGTTGGGTGGGCTATGGGGGGAATTTGAAAGGGAAAACTGGAGACATATATGACCATATTTCATTGTATCCATGTATGAAAAACCTTAAAAAGAAGAAATTATATAAGGGGGCGAGAAACCAAACAGGAAGCAAGACATAAAGGAAACTCAAGCTTCTGTTCTTACCCCAATTTTACTTTACTCTTGTGCCCCACTGTGGTGAACTACAAAGTAGCTACTGAATGCCTAACAGACAAGAATTAGGTCTTAAGGTTAAATTCTTCCTCTGCTCATATTAGTTTACATTTTGCTTATTTATTTTGTGTGCATGTGGAGGTCAGAAAGAACCTGAGGAAGTCAGTTCTCCTTCCACTACGTGGGTCCCTGAGATGGAAGTCAGGTTGTCAGGCAAGAGATGCCTTTCCTACTGAGCCATCTCACCCACGCCCTTATTATTAAGTTGGAACAAACTCTAGTTTGTATAGAAACTCCCAGGGTAAATATTGGTTCTACTGGCTAAACCGATGATGGTCACAGGTTTAACACTGCTATTTGGGCCCAGAGGTGTCTCCAAATCTCAGGCCACCTTACACACCAAATCAACCATTAACCCATTGCAATTTCTCTAAATGCACCTGCTGCCTGTGCCTTGCTGCAGCTCAGCTCTCTGCGGTGTTCTTACCTTACACTAGCCTCTGGGCGATTTCCACAGCTCCCAAGGCTTTGCAACTTCTATTCACATTTCAGTATCTCCAGCCAAGACTCACAGGCTGGCTTTCACTTGTGGCAATCCTCCTGCCTCAGCCTCCTGGCTTCTTTTTCTAATTTTTTTTTTGGTTGTTTTAAGGAGGCTTACTCAAGAACTTACCAGCCCATCGGTCCCATGGTCTCTGCTCTGGTTTTCCCACGCTTTGCCTCCTTTAACAATTCTTCTATGGCTTTCCTGTTGGGAAAAGGGAAGGAAGATGTCTAAAAAGCAGCCACAAACGAATTTCTGGAAATCATTATTGTATGAATAAAGCCCTGCTGGGACAACTATCTAAAATGACTAAGAGTTTTCAAATCAAAACTGAGACAGAAACTGTGTGTGTGTGCTCTCGTGTGTGATTTGCTATAGATCAAACTTAGGACCGCACATACTAGGCAAGGACTCTACCATAGAGCTATATCCTCAGCCCTGAAAATGAAGCGTTTTTATGGGTGGTGGTGGTAGAGACAAACTAGAAATTGCAATATAAATTATTAAACCATATGCCCTTAATAAAATAAATCTGTCTTAATTTAAAAAATAACCAAAAGACATGAATGTGTGTGTGTGTGTTTGCGAGCACGTGTGTGTATTTAAAATTTTCATAATAGTAAAGAAATGAAGTCTGAGGCTATAGCTCAGGGCCAGAGCACCTGCCTAACATGCATGAGATGCCAAGCGCTAGGATTGATCCCTAGCACTGTCTTTAACACATACACACCCCCACAGCCCCCACACCCCCCAAAAAACTGCCAATCCAGGTGTGGTGGAAGGTGGCTGTGAGTTTGGGGCCAACCCAGCTCAATGAGACTGTCTCAGAAAACCAAAACAACAATAGAAACCAAGAAACTAAACAAGCGTGAAATGTCAGTTAAGCCAACAATGGTAACTATTTCTGTCCATCATTAGTGAGGGCGTACTCTTTTCTCCATACATGAAGAAAAAAGTTGAAGGGCTGGGCATGGTGGTGTACACCTTTAATCTCAGCACCAGCTAGGTCTACACAGGGAGCTCTACATTAACCATTTAAAAACAATTCCAGATATCAACCTGCACTCATTTTAACCAGAGGCGTGAGACTGTACTCCTTCTGCTGTGATGGCATCTCAACCTTCTTTAGTAAAGAGAGGACTGCTGGGTACCCATCAGAATCACCCAACACTCAAACTCAAATCAATTCATTTTGACATAGCTCCAACTATGTTTTTCTTTTTAAAAATTTGAACATTTGTGTGTGGGTGTGGGTGTGTATGTGTGCGTGCACACCAGCACACCAGTGAAGATCAGAGGACAACTTGTGTGAGTTGGTTCTCTCCTCCTACCATATGGGTTCTGGGGATCCAACTCAGGGCAGGCTTGGTAGATCTCCCCCCCCCCCCATTTCTTGAGGGATGATGTCAGTCTAGGAAGTAGTAGGTATTTAAGGCGACTAAAATGAAGGACAAGAAAATAAAGAACAAATAATAAAGAACAGGAATTTACAAGGACTAAAGTTAGATGAGCTGTATCTCAAACAGTGGCTCAGAACTGAGTCAGGTGACTTGCAGACACCACGAGCTGAGGGGCAGCAATAACCCTGGCTGCATATACAGCATTTTCCCTGCTTGTGCCTTCCCAAGTCTTTAAAGTTACCTTTGATCAACTAACTACGAAGTACAGGACAAGTCACAGGGCAGATGGAAAAACAGGTTCAGATAAAGGATGTGTTCAAACAAGCAAGACTTGGTGACAAAACACAGGCGTCTCAGGGAAGTGGCAGAAACCTGCATCACTCACACATACTGTGCAGAATTAAAGAGGAGTTTCACTGTAGCGACCTGACTCTTCCCACAGGCAGTGACAAGACTGGAAGAGGAAGGTGGACAATGTGCTGTATCTTTCATGAGGGCTGCAAGGTATGAGGGAAGCTGGGTGTGGGGGCTCACGCCTGCAATCCCAGCACTGCCATCTGAGACAAGAGGATCCCCACAATTTTAAGGCAAGTACTAGGACAGCCTGGGCTACAGAGAGAGGTGTCTTGAACAAACAAAAACCACAAGCAGATGGTTGCATTTCCACAGGACAGCAGCTCCTGATGAGCCAGCAGTGATGAGTACTCTAGTGACAAGGTTGTATGGATCTGTAGAAACAAGACAAGAGTACCGTCACTGGTTCTTCATGACTTACTAGTGTCTAAAGACACAGATGAAAAAACTCAGGATATTTGAACTGAGTTTCAGAAAACCATTCAGTTATCTGGGTCACATGTCAGCAGCCAAGGAGGAAAGTTCATATTGCAGAGGTTTGGAAGACAAGGAAAATCTCAACGGAACACTGGGGTAATTTGTAAAGTGAAAAGAATTATTCAGATACAAGATGAAGGTCTGGGCGTGGTGATGTGTGCCTGAGGCCCCAGCATTCAGGAGGTTTAGAAAGGAAGTTCCACAACAGTGAGTGTGAGGCCAGCCTACACACAATAAAACTCGGCCTTAAAAAGCACCTTTAATCCCAACACTGTGAGTTTGAGGCCAGCTGGGGTAATATTAGGCACGTATGCCACTGTGTCAGGCTTAGTTTTTGGAAATACTTGTGCCATGAGTTTGAATGGAGTACTATTGAAACTCATTCATTTCATGTCCATATGGCCCAAAGAGAAACTAGTAAAATACCATTTAATCAGTGACAGAAAAACCAAACAGAGATAGTGAGGGCTGCTTTTTGTAACGACGGTGATGGTCTCAGCTGCCTCTCAAGTTGTTAAGAGGTATTTATTTCATTTGGCTCAAACTGTTCTGGATTCCACAAGAAATAAGAATGTCACTTTGTACCTTCCTCATCTCTCCCTGATCCTGGTGCACTCACAGTAGATTCTCAGTTTGATACGGCGATTGGAATTGAGATGTGGTAAAATACAAAATTCACAAGAACTAAAACACCTCAGTAAAAACCTGACCAAAAAGTGGGGACAGAACCTGAAGAGACACTTTCCTGAGAAAACATGGATAGTTCAGCTGGCAGAGTGCTTGCCAGGCAAACATGAGGACTGGAGTTTGGATCCCAGTACCTATGCAAACAGCCAGGCTACTGGTGCTGTTTGGGGGGAGGTTATCAAACCTTGAGGGGTTGGAGTCTTGCTGGAGGAAGTATATCACTGAGGGTGGGCTTTGAGTGTTTTTTAGCCTTGTCCCCCCCCCCACACTTTCTGTAACGGAAGTGTGGTCTCTCATCGTCCTGTGTCTGCCACTATGCCTTTCCCACCATATGGACATACAACCCTCTGGAATGGTAAGCCAAAATAAACTCCTCCTAAATTGCTTTTGATCATGATGTATCACAGCAACATGAAAGTGACTAATATAGTTATGTTGAAAAGGTAGCTACCCCCAAGCTCAATACAAGCATTCTTCATATAGCTGTGTTCTAGTGCAAAAGAGAACAAAGAAAATGATATGTGTGTGGCATACACACACACACACACACACACACACACACACACACAGAAATTCTTCCCAGCCTTAAAAAAAGGAAATACTGTTATTCGTGACAACACGGACAAGACACTGACCAGCGAAATGGATAGGGCATTGAGGAGCCAATGTTCAGTCATCTTACTTAGAATGGAAGCTAAAAAAAGTTTAAAGTCAGAAGCAGACAGCAGAATAGTGCTAACCAGGGCTGGGGGTGGAGGGAGGGGGTCTGAGGAGATGGAAAAGTTCAAGTGAGTCCCTGTGCAGTGTGGCAACTCTAGCAGGAAGCACTGAAGCCTTGAAGATCTCCAGAGTTCTCACCACAGAAAGAATCGTGTGAAGTAATGTGTAGTTAATCAGCCTGACTGCACTGTTCCACACTGTGGGTTTTGGTTTTTTGTTTTGTTTATTTATTTATTTGGTTTTTCGAGACAGGGTTTCTCTGTATTATTTTGGAGGCTGTCCTGGAACTAGCTCTTGTAGACCAGGCAGGTCTCAAACTCACAGAGATTCGCCTGCCTCTGCCTCCCAACTGCTGGCATTAAAGGTGTGCGCCACTACCACCTGGCTCCACACTGTGTTTGACAGACTTTAAAGCAGTGGTTTTCAACTTCCCCTTTAACACAGTTCCTCATGTTGTGGTGATGCCCAACCATAAAATTATTTTTGTTGCTGCTTCACAACTGTAAGTAGCACTGTTATGAACTGTAATGTAAATATTTGTGTTTTCCAATGGTCTTAAGTAACCCCTGTGAAAGGGTCATTTGGACCCAAAAGAGTCTCAATCCATAGGTTGAGAACCATTGCTTTAAAGCATGGCATACAAAATGAATGCATACTATTCATCTATTTATCATTTTATAATAAATACAAAACTGTATCTATAGCAGAACAGTAGACAATAGGTGACATGGTAGTAGAGGCAAAGCAGACAGTGAAACATGGGCCAGAGATGAACGACCACAGCCCCTGGCCCAGCAACTGACCACAGCGGCTCTGTATGGCAGAAACACGACTGCGTCACTCACTGATCCTGGTGACACCAGGAAATTACAGTCAGAACTACAGATGTAGAACAAGGCCAAGGTGGAGTCTTCCTTCCATGGTGAAGGGTTTTGATCCTTTACTGCTGTCTGAAAGTCTCAGCAAGGACACACATCTAGAAAAGACCCTTTTCCTAGCGAGTGAGACCCATCATAGAGAGAACTGGCCTCTGCTTTGGTTTGGCTTCACTGTACAGAAGTAGAAGCCCCATTTGTACATGCAGACACTCCCCAGACTCCATTTCCCAGAGAAGCTGCCAATGAAACAGAAACGTAAAGTATCAGCTAACTTTTGAGCCTAGCATAGCTGTTAAGCAGATGCTGCTGCTCTTAGATCCACGGGAAGTGGTACAGATGGTGACAGCATGTCGTAAAGCATAGCTGGTCAGTGACCACGAAGCAGAAACAGGAAAAGGAAGGGACTCAGATCCCAGTGTACCCCACGGGGGTACCATTTGCCAACTTCCACTGAGCTCCATCTCTTAAAGGTTTCTCCAGCTCCTAAAGTACCAAGCTGAGAATAAACCCTTTAACAGGTGGCCTTTGGGGGCGGGGGCATCTAAGACCCAAACCACAGTGTATATCAAGTCATGTGTACTTCCAGGACCATGAACTACAATGACAAGAGAAGGAAGGCTGGTACTACTGCGAAATTCTTTTCTTCCTCTCCTCTCTCCCTCCCCTTCCTCTCCCTTTTTATCCCCCCCCAACATAAGGTCTCATTATATAGTTCCAGCTGTCCTGGAACTTGATCTGTAGATCAAGCTGGCCTTGAATTTAGAGATTTGCCTGCCTCTACCTCCCAAGTGCTAGGAAAAAAGGTGTGTGCTCTTTGATGCTCTTTTCACTCAAGCATACAGGTCAAAACATGATGATGGTGTTTCTCATGTAATAAACTACACTGAGTACAGGACCCCAGTGATAGTAACATTACATTTGATATATGAGGGTACTCATTTTGTCTCAGGCAATGTTTCTTTGAATACTGACATAATCTACACTATTGAGGATGTGACACAAAATAATGGCAACAGTACCTATGTACCTACCAAGGACCTATGCCTAACCCTCAGCTCCCCTGTGCCAATTTATAGAGAAGGAAGTAAGAAGAAACAGGTTGCAAAACTTACCTAATGTCACAACAGCCAGTAAGTAATGGTGCTGTGATGTAATCCAGGCAGGCCGACTCTAGGACCCAGGGTCTTAACGCTTTTATCACTGTTCTTCTGTAAGGTATGGAAAACCTCTAGAACTTAGTGCAGTGAGCCACATAAAGGGTGTGTGTGTGTGTGTGTGTGTGTGTGTGTGTGTGTGTATGTATGAAATGAAGCATACATGGTGACATGGGAGAGGCCGTATTATGTCAAAACTGCTAAGGGAAGAAACAAGCACTAAGGCCTTCACCTGGACGTCTATATTCTCAACTCACTGCAGTGCCTCTTCTGCAGGTGATTCTCAGAGTAGGCTATTGCCACAGCAATGACTTCTGCAGTTAATAGTTTATGTGGGCTGGCCTTTACTACCTCAGCTTTTATAAGAGAACATCTCCCAGTTTATACGCCACCTGCTTTACCACAGGCACACTGACCTCATTTCCCCAGCAGAAGTATTCTTACAAATATTTATTCCTAAATCTTGATAGAGAAAACAGCCATTCATCTTCACCTCATATTACAAGAGCAAACATGCCATGGTGTACACATGTATATGAAGAGAATAACTGTGAGGTGGTAGTGTGGGGCTGCTTAGGAAATAATAACTCAAAGTAGAAAAACCCATGGATTATGAAATCCCAAGGGCAGTAATCTGTCTGAGAGGCCACTATAAATTGGAAGATATGTGTATATGTCCTATTGAAATACTAATTGGGAGAAATAAATCCAAACAGAATAAGGTCAAAATAATTAACCAGTTTTCTTACTCAATAAAAGCATTTGTTTGCTCTTTGAGAAGACAGACAAAAAAATTGTGCAGACAGAAAAAAGGATTTCTAGTCTTGAAAAATGAGTGTGGAAGGAGGCCAATATCCTAGCCCCCTCCCCAAAGCTAACAGCTAATAATATGGCAGCTGCCTGAACTGAGCAAAAGATAGGAGATGCGAATAATGACTAAAAGCAGAGACACAAAATAAATCCCAACTCTTACAAAACAGCAGCTCAAAATACAACAGGAGAAAGGTAAAGGAATTGTGCCAAAGAAAAACAGTGATAAGTCTCTGAGTTGGCTGCCACAGCTCCCTGAACTAGGGCAGAAGTTTGGCATATTCCTTTGATAAATGCACCAGACACAAGAAAAGCACCTCCCCAAAAGCTGGATCTGCAGCTCCCTCCCCAGACCCTAAAGGAGATTTGTTCTCTACAGAAGCCAGGCAGACTGTCCTAATCACACTGCGGATGGTAATCAATGCAGGCCTGGTCAGCCTACTGAGCTCTCTTCCTCCATGTGTCAAGGCTGTGGCTGGCACATACTAGACAACAAGGTGTCCACTCCACAGATCTCAGTCACTGATTTACCAGGTGATTATAAATTATACCCAGAGCTAAGTCCAGGAATGGAAAACAACTAAGATAAGAGAACTATCCAGAACTACAGGCTCCTTAAAAAGTGTTTTCATGTTTGTTTGTTTTTTTCTTTTCTTTTCTTTTTTTTTTTGTGGTTTTTCGAGACAGGGTTTCTCTGTAGCTTTGGAGACTGTCCTGGAACTCACCTTGTAGACCAGGCTGGCCTCGAACTCACAGAGATCCGCCTGTCTCTGCCTCCCGAGTGCTGGGATTAAAGGCGTGCGCCACCAACGCCCGGCTGCTTTCATGTTTTAACACATGTAGAAACTAGTCCCTTGAGTCTGCCGCAAATAGTAGAACTATCATTAACTGAACCGAATGGTTTAGTTTTTTAAAATTTTTATTTATTTTCTTATCTTACATACCAACCACAGTTCCCCTTTCCACCTCTCCCCCCCACTGCTCACTCCAACACACCCCCATCCACCCCTCCAAAAGGGTAAGGAAGGCCTCCCATGGGGAGTCAACAAAGCCTGGCACATTAAGTTGAGACAGGATCATGCCCCTCCCCCGTGCATCAAGGCCGAGCAAGGCATTCCACCATAGGGAATGATCTTCAAAAAGTCAGCTCATGCACCAGGGACAGATCCTGGTCCCACTGTTAGGGGTCCACCAGACAGACCACGCCACACAACTGTAGCCCACATGCAGAGCCTCGCTTGGTCTCATGCAGGCTCCACAACTGTCGGTCTAGAGTTTCCGACTTCCCACAAACTTGGTTCAGCTGTCTCTATAGATCTCCCCATCATAGACTTTGACCACCACCCCCACTCACACTCTACTCATATAATTCCCCCTCCCTCCTAGTGCTTTTTTTTTCTTTAAATTAGAAACAAGCTTGTTTTACAAGTCAATTCCAGTTCCCTTTCCCATCCCCTTTCTGCTCCTCAGGGAGGGTGAGGCCTCCCATGGGGGATCTTCAAAGTCTGTCATAGCATTTGGAGCAGTCCCCTCTCCCCTCCCCCATGTCTAGGCTTCGAGAGCATCCCTCTATGTGGAATGGGCTCCCAAAGTTCATTCATATACTAAGGATAAATACTGAACCACTAACATAGATTGCCCAGGCCTCCTAACTGACACTTTTTTTTTTAAACTAAGATATAAAACATTTGTGGACTAGAGAGATGGCTTAGAGGTTAAGAGCACTGACTGTTCTTCCAGAAGACCTGAGTTCAATTCCCAGCAACCACATGGTGGTTCACAGCCATCTGTAATGAGATCTGGTGCCCTCTTCTAGCATACAGGCATACGCGCATGCAGAACACTATAGTAAATAAATAAAATTGTTAAAAAAACAAAACCAAAACCAAAAAACATTTGTACCTCTAAAGTTTGGGTTGGAGACATGGCTCAGTGGTTAGAATATTGGCTGCTTTTTCTTTTCTTTTCTTTTTTTGAGACAGGGTTTTTCTGTAGCTTTGGAGCCTGTACTGGAATTCACTCCGTAAACCAGGCTAGCCTAGAACTCACAGAGATCCACCTGCCTCTGCCTCCAAAATGCTGGGATCAAAGGTGTGCGCCACCACTGCCTGGCTTACTGGCTGCTCTTACAGAGGACCTGCGTTTGGTTCCCAGCACCCACATGGAAGCTAACTGTGACTGCAGTTGCTGGGGATCCAACACTGTCTTCTGGCCTCTACAGGCACCAATGTGAATATATATAATCATACACACAATGAACAAACAAATTGATATTTAAATATATACCATGAGAAGAGAGGAAGAAAAGCCTGTATTCTATACTCCTTACCCAGGACTAAAAACCTGGTTGGGCCTAACATTACAGAGCAGAGTGTAGCTCAGGAGAAAAAAGGTGACAAAGAGTCACAGGAACTGAGCATGGAGCCCACACAGGGCAAGAGTGCCTTGTTCTGCCACAAGGACTGCCAAGACCTGGCTTCCTCCTGACACCAGAACACTTGTATCTACTATACTTTAGGTGTCCAACACTGCCTTGAGAGATGTAAATCTCCTCTACAAAAGCAGCAGAGATTAACAAAACAGAAAACGTACACATATACAACCACTTTTACACTGAGAATCAAATACAAACATCCACTCTACAAATAATTTACTAAAACAAGTTGGCAAATTCTTGACTCTTTAAGCTCTGCAGTGTCAAGCTTCAAGCTGTTATTCAGATATTAACTCATACAGAATGAACTTAAGTAGGGAAAGGCAATTACAGATCTTTCACAGTTGAGAAAACATTCTACTTAATACACATACCAGGGCTTCGAGAGAGAACCGCATTCCTATAATACAGTAGGTCAATAGAATCCAGAAACTGAAGACGAACACACACACACACACACACACACACACACACACACACACACACACACACACACACACACACGGTGGGAGGTATCTAACCTGGAGAACAGTGGACTTCTGAAAGAGATGTTTTTAGAAAAGTACTGAATTGAGGTGGTTCACTGAACAAGTAGGCCAGGACCATAGCACTAGAAAGTAAAGTGATGTAAACATTTATTTTCAAAGTTGAATGATGCTGTGGGGCTCTGGTGCAATGCAAACATGTTCTTATGCACACTTAGCTCAATGGCAGGGATAGCATGGCAGTTCACACCTACAATCCCAGCATGCTTAGTTCAACAGCAGGGCTAATATGATGGCTCACACCTACAATTCCAGCACACTTGTTCAATGGCAGGGCTAGTATGGTGGCTCCTACAATCTCAGACACTTAGTTTAATGGCAGGGCTAGTATAGCAGCCCACACCTACAATCCCAGCACCTGGGAGGCTGAGGATAAAGGATGGCTTCAAGTCTGAAGCCTACCTGGTTGACATAGTTTTAGGCCGGTCAGGGCTACACCATGACACCCTTTCTTTAAATAAAAGCATAAACACTAGAAAGAATGCAGAGATAAATAAAAGGAAGAAACATGCTAAAGTGAACAAGCCCAAGACAGAAGATTCCATTAGAGATTTTGTTAACCTTTACTCTGTTCCATCACACATCAGTGGCTAAATGGAAGAAACTTCCAGAGCAATGCGTTAGGTGTTTGTGGCATCAGAAACCAGCAGTGTGACAACCAAGACCCAGCATACAATATGGTAGGACTGTGTTCTTCAGAGACACCATCTCACAGGTTACCAAAATTCTTCAACACAACCTTCTAGCCCTTCAGTAATGCCAAGCTTTCAATAGCTGTACATCCTAAAGCCATCTTTTCTACTACTACAGACTGTCCTTAAGACAGACAGCAGCTGTACTTGAACTGGATGGAGCCATGCTAGCAAAGCATCTAAGATAGATCAGAAATAGAACAGGTGCACAAATGAGACCACAGGAGAACTTCTAAGAGGAAGACCACACTGTATTCCAACAGTGCACTGTGGCTTTAACCCAGCCACATACTTTTATATTTGCTGATCATTTTCACTGTAGATGCTGGGCCATGGATCAAACCTCTGTTTGTCCTACATACACTGTGTTTCAAGGCTCCAAATCTAACTATATATATTTCTCTGTTTAACATAATTTACAATAAAAAGCCCCAAATGAACTAAAATGCTCTGGTAAAGACTCGTTAAATAAAATATTATGAGTTTTTAAAAATGCAAGATGAAAATAACTTACATGTCAGCATTAGAAGTCAGCTAGCTTAATTCTGTCATACAAAGCCAAGGAAATTATGG